ACCGGAAAACGGGCAACAATCCGGCGGCCGGCAGGGCAAGTAAAGCGCGAAGAGTACGATTGACAAAATAGATTTGTTTCAACTTTTTTGGAAAAAGAATAATTTATAATGTGACATTCTTATTTTCCGCGCCGATTCTTCTGGCTTTAAGGCGGAGATGAATTCAGTTGGATGTTTCTTAAGGATTTCGTATTTTACCATAATACCCCCCTTTGAGTAATTTTCAAATTTCGTGAATTTTCTTTTTGATTGCGAACGAAATCGGTTCCATTGTATTTTAGATAGCCCACCTATCATCATTTTCGTTAGGTTTTTCTGAAAAAAATATAAATTTGAGTTACATAGAAAATTTAAAACTTTTTGTAAATTTAATATTCTGTTTTCCTAAAAAATAACTAAATAAATGATATATTATGAATTACCATAAATGTTTGATTTTGAAGGTATATTCCCAATTCTAATAAAAATGTCCTATTCCACATCATTTGTAATATATGCTAATAATCTTACTTATTATACTAAAACGAAATGTCATTTATTATTATAGTTAATTTGCTAACTTAAATATAGCTCAATTGATTTAAACACTTATTTTCGATTTCGAATCACAACCCCTTTATTGTACTAAAAAAAGAATTATGACCCATTCAAAAAGTTATTATAAAACACAAGTGAGATTCATGTGTTTCTAAAAATTTGTCATTCTACTTTTTTAAAAAACAAATAGATTTACCAAATTTCTCGATATAATAAACTACAATAATATAAATTTGTTGTATTAAAAAAGATTCAAATTTCAAAATTTGATCCAAATCTCAAAATTTGATTCAAATCTCAAAGATCGTTGAGATTAATTGCTTGTGGTAATTATAGTATAGTATAATTACTTGAAAGTTGGAAAGAATTTTTTAAGAAAAGATATAATTACATTCCAAAAGTGGAGAATTGATCATCCTCCAGGTTATATTAATCTACAATAATTATGTTGGATTTTTCATGTGTAATAAAAATGTATTATTAAATAAGTAGACATGTAATGTAATTGCATGTTTCAGTTGGAGACAAAAATTGCAAGAATTTGTCACTTTCATTCTCCATCACAAACCACAAAACCCAAACCCCCAAGCAATAAAATTGAAGCAAGACAAAGCCAGCCAAGTATTCCAAAATTAATTGTGAGGAAAATTTTAAAAATAGTTTTCAATAAAACAGAATTCTTTAAAGAGAAAAAAAAATTCTCGAATATGCAAGATTGATTGTGTAATAATATTTAGTATTCACGGGAGAGTGTTGGCAATAATTTTAAGTATACAAATTTGTTGAGTAAAAATAAGAAAGTATGAATCAGAGCCGTTCTTTTTCCGACAAAAACAATTTATTTATTCATAAGAAAATAGAAGAATTTGCGATGGATCCGATGAAAGGTAAACTACAAAAAATAATCGCCACCACAAAGTTAGGAGAATTTAATTGGACCTTCATTTGTGGTCAACAGCCTGGCGGGTAGGATCCTCCAACATTAATTTATGTTCGATTATAGTTTTTTTTTTTAAACCTAGGTTTATTCGTTTACCTTATAAGGTGTTTTTTTTTAATTACCGTTGGTGGTATGTTTTAGTTGTGTTGTCTTTTAATTAATATTACTGTAGCTTTATTAGTGAGTCTATTTATTCTTTTCATATCTTGATCTCGGACTGTAAGATTAATTTTTTTTCTCTTAAAAAAAAACATGAGAATTTAGTTTCAAAATTTTAAATTTTTTTAATTAAACCTTGCAATTGGGTATTAGGCAAGTTAGAAAATGTGGGGTAGAGACTCAAACGTAGACAAATGTATACTCTTTATCAATTAAGTTAGATTTAAATTGGATATTTAAGATAATACATATTAGTCTATTTAGTTATTTGTTAATACACTAAAATCTACTAATTTCTCCATCTCTGCAAAAGCGGGCATAACTCAGCGGTGATTGGCATATATCTCCAATAAAGAGATTGTGAGTTCGATCTTGTTAAAAAAAAAAAAAATCTCCATCTCTCTCATCCTGATTTCTTACTTCTTCCCTTCTTCCTCACCTAGATTTTCCCTTCCAACTCTACCCTCAAATTTTCCCTTTTTTTTCTCCCTCAATCTAATTTGGTGAGGAAGAAGTTTGGAGAGAATTAATGGTGGAAGAAAATTGGATTGCAGAGTTACTATTCACGAGTTGCAATGCATTATCATAGGTCCCATGGATTTTCCCCCTCAACTAAGCTTCAAAACCACCATTTTGGCATAAAAAGGTCTAGCTCTTCACTATTTATCGTTTAAAAAAATCAACTTAGATGAGAAAACTCTAAAAACAAAGTAAAAAGTTTGATATAATTATAGCCAGGTAAATCTAATTTATAATATTAAAGTTGGAAAATAAAATGTTATAAACCCTAATTCACAATGGGTTGATCTAGTAATCATTTGAAGCTGTTGAAAAAAATAAAAGGGTAGTTTGGAGTGAATGAATTCTAACCACATACATATGATTTAAAACCTTACTATATGTTGGAGTGAATGAATTCTCCCATCCCCACATGTTGTACTTAGAAAAAAAAAAGTTACCTTGAGAATTTAAGTGGTTGTCCAAGTCAACGGTATCCTCCACGGTACTCATATGAAATATATGGCGATCAAAATGTAAGATTAGCTCTCAAAAAATGAGAGGAAAAAAAAGGTAATTAGCTAGGTAGGATATGGAAAGTGTGGTGGGTCTCAAAGAGTGGACTACGTGAAGCTTAGGCAATCAAAGGGAAAGGATGGGGATGTTGATGTTTGGGGTGAGGAGAAAGAGATAAGCAAATGGGAGATGGAGTTGCTTAGCCAAAGATATGTTTCAATTCCTTTGCCATGGCATTTGAAAGGGATGCTTCTATTATTGCCTTTCGTCTATGTGGTAAAAGACACCATTTCATTTCATTTCTATATTCATCTTTCCTTCTAATAATCATTTCAATTTCCGTTCTTCTAACTTAAAAAAATATAACGACGCTTGATACCAGTCCATTCAGCTGTTAATTTTTAAATTTTGAGGATGAGTTTTGTTTTGTTTGCTTTTAAGTTTGTCTAAAAGAATATTAAATTTTCAAAAATAGGTTTCTTTTCTTATTTTTTTAATCTTTTTTTTCGCCAGACACTAGATCTAGAAAAATATTGGAGGGGAAAAATACTTCGAACGATGAACTTGTTCCCATTCAATAGTCGATAATTCTTTATCGAGCTGGAACAATCTATTCTTCCTGAATATCTGGATTCATTGCCAAAGAATTTCCTGTCGGTATTTGAAAACATATCTTGGGGACGCCCTAAAGCACTCATGGTATCATTATGAATATACGAACCAAAACTATGAAAGCCTAAAAATATTCACACCCAGTTCAGATGTGATATGATTGCATCGCGATGTCTAAGTGCATAACGGCCTTATTGTTCCGATGGAGAGAAGAACCTATGATTAGCTTTTCGGGAAATTCCAAACCAATAATTTCAACGAAATCTTTCAATTATCCTTTCTATTCACTCAGATCTCTTCCATTTCATCGATTTTGTCCAGATCCTCCTTTTCTTCCAAAAAAAGGGAAGGAGAAGTGGTGACACTCTGGATTTGAACTGGGAAAAAGGGATTTGCAGTCCCCCACCCTCGGCCATGCCGCGAAAGCGAATGGGAAAACGTGAAATTCTTTTTACTTTCTTCCGCAGGGACCAGGAGACAGTTTTCAGTGCTGGTTATCCAGTTACAGAAATTACCCCATAGGCTTTCACTTTCGCGTCTCTCTAAAATTGCAGTCATAGTAAAATCTTGGTTTATTTAATCATTAATCATCAGGGAGTCCCAAGCACATGAATTCCCGTTCTCAACCCATGACCAATATGAGCTCGAGGTTTCCTTCGTAACTCCCGGAACTTCTTCGTAGTGGCTCCGTTCCATGCCTCATTTCATAGAGAACCTCAAAATGGCCGAAAGCATCACTAGCTTACGCTCTGACTCGAGTAGTATGGGGCACGTGGAATCCCGTGTGAATCAGCAAAGACCACCTTACAAGGCTAAATACTCCTGGGTGACCGATGCTTAGCTAATTTCATGCATCTAACCAAAAAATCCTTTCTTCCAACTTTTCGATCTTTCCATTCATTACCCGCGGGTCCTTCTTCCCCTAATTCTTTCCATTCTACCAACGAGAGACAAAAGAAACATCTTGTTCTTTCTTCAACAATTTCTGATCTCTAGTGGACCTCTCAATAGGATTCGAACCCATATGAAGTTCTGACCATCTGTCAGAGAAAAAAGAACGAATGTATCTTGTAAGATTCCGGAGAAATTCTTTGATTTCTTCCGAAAGCGGATGATTATTCATCTGCTTCTCACGTTCCGTGAATAGTCAGGACATTAAGGAATATCCATAAAAGCATTTAGAGAATCGGTTAATTTCACGAGTTGGAGATAAGCAGACTAGAACTACTGACATTCGCCATAGGGTAAACCACCGCCTCTGAGGCCCCTAACTGATTCTACCATAGAGGCTGATCTGATTCTACCATCATACTGTGCAGCTATCTCCGTTTCCAATTTCCAATCAACAATGGGGAGATCTATAGGACATACACGAACACATACTTCACAAGCAATGCATTTATCAAATTTAAAATGGATTCGACCGCGGAAATGCTCCGATGTGATTAATTTTTTGTAAGGATATTGAATGGTTACAGGTAAATGATTTGCATGAGATAAAGTAATCATAAAACTTTGACCAATGTATCTTGCAGATCGTACTTTTTTTTTACCATAATTCATGAATCCAGTTACCCGCAGTTGCATCTATCACTTTATTGTAAAAGATCAGATCAGCCCGTTTCGCCATAAGTACCTCCATATTATGACGAGTGGGGTTCGACAATAAGTTTGAATCAATGGTTGGATATAAGGGAGGGCACTCCCCTTACGTCTCTAATATGTGTCACTAAGATCTCTTTTTAATATCTATCTCTCTTTTCTTTCCTTCTCAAGTTTATCTTCTCTAACTAATTCATATTTGACTTTTGTTATTCAAAAAATTATTATATAATAAAATAAAAAACATTATCTAATATAGTTTGATTTCAAACTTTCATAATAATACAATACTAAAATCAGTGGTTTTCTAAAATAAAAAACATTATTCAACTAGCAATAATTTTTGGCCAACTAATTAAATATATGTGAATCTTTTGTCTTGCTTTAGAGCTCTCTCTTGTACTTTGGTAAAGAATATTTTGCGACCAGAATTATTATCATGTTCTTTTGAAAATATTTAATTATTTGATTGTATGCATGTTTCAAGTTCTTTTTTTCTTTTTAATTTTCAATAAGTAGAAAACAGAAAGAAAGTTAGCTAATTACTTTATTTATGCAAAAACAAAAGTTATAAATAACATTTGTTATCAAGAAGTGTCTTAATTCAAAATTGCCTTTACATCATGAGAGTGATACTTAACTCTCGCTTGCCATGAGCTTAATTTAGCTGTCAAAAGGCGCATCATCTTGCCTTTTTTTAAAGGTAGGAAGTTCAATCCTTCATATACACGTTGTACTAAATTAAAAAAAAGAAAACTCTCGGTCACTGTTAGTTGCTTCACGCAATCACACGTTAAACTAAGTGTAAGTGCACATTATAAATGTCGATTGTAGTATCATTAACAAGGTTGAAAAATCCATAAAGAATGGATAATAATACTTCAAAATATGCTTAAGAATACCAATCGTACCAAACTAGTAATAATCAAAGATATTAACAACAGAATAACATGAAATTATAAAAAGAACACAATTAAAAGCTAGGACGATTAAAACGCGGGAAGTAAGATATGTTGGGACACTGAATACGATAACAAAGAGGAACAATAGTAGTAAAATGGAAACAGTAGAGGTTACTACCCGCTCTGACGATACCATATCAATATTCATGGGATTTCATCTCAGATGTGTTGAGTTCTTTGGCTCAGACACTATATCTATCCCTTAAGGTTCCATCTCAAAATTCCAATTGACAATGAGAGTAGCATGCCACTAATTATATTATAAACCTAGCTTTGTTAGGCCTCTTATCTTTTCAATGTGGGATGCTTAACATATCTCATCAAGTTCGTGGCTCTTTTGACTCATCAATTTTAACCGGATCCCATTTTTGGACCAGATGTTCGTTTAATCATTTTGGCCTCTGATAGCATATCAATGTTGATGAGATTTCTTATGAGTTATTTATCTTATTTGACAATATTATTTGGCCTCAAATATTGAAGTATTAATTTTATAACTTCAATTAAAAATTGAAGAGTTTAATAACGAACTTTTCCAAGAGAAAAAAACCGGGAGAGGTCCAAATGTTGAAGGAATTTGCATCAGAAGACAAAGACAAGACACAAAGCAAGAGCTCCCACGAGAATGCGTTGGTGAAAGTTCCAATAAAGCCCCATATTCTTTCTTGTACATTTGGCCGGCAGCCAGCCCACGGCCGGCCGCCGATCCTTCCAATTCTCCCCGCGCTCAACAAACAAACCTATAAATACCCACCAACTAAATCATCTCATCCCACAAACTTAAATTAACTCCATAATTACTCAAAGTCTTAACATAAAATCCAAGCTCCATCAATGGCGGTCATCTCTCATCTCTTCGTCTTCTTCGCCACTGCAGCCATCTTCACCCCTTCGACTCTGGCAGCCACTTACACGGTCGGAGATGATGCAGGTTGGAACACCGGCGTCAACTACACTAATTGGGCTCACGGCAAACCTTTCAACGTCGGCGATCTTCTTCGTAAGCGATTCTGTTAACATGAAAATTAGAACACGTGGAAAAGGAAAAAAAACCCACACAAACCCAAATCATTACGAAAGATGTTTCCAAACCCTAGGTTCTAAAAAGAAAAAACTTGTTAGATTGAATATTTGAGAATTAAAAGAGAGAAATACAAAACTAAAAATGAATTATGAAAAATAATGAATTGTCAGATATTTAATGGAGTTGAGTAAACTTTAACTTTAAAGAGTCAAATTTTTTCCGTTTTTAAAATCTATAGTTCGGGAGATACCTATACCTTTTAGGTTAAAAGATTTCGAGCCACCCCTATATCCAACTCAGAAAAGAAAAAAGAAAAAAAATTCTAATAAGGCGATGATTATTCTACAGTCAAATCAACCGAATAAACAAAAAAATCAAATTAAAATCAGCTGTCATGGATCCTCATCTTTCGTTTCTTTCTTTCTTTTTTGTTTTAGCCATCAATAATCTTAATCTAAAAAATGTAATAAATGTCTTATCTAATTTGAGCTGATCCCAATCATCCACTCACCCAAGCATATCTTATTATCTTTTAACGTAATATAGCTCATATACCTTCATTATAATTCATTCATAAATTCATAGACAGTTGGATATTTCATTGTCATTTTCTTCATAATTCAGCTCGGCCGGCGTCCCGTAACCATTGGTAGACCAACAATATATTATATATACTGGTTGATATGCAATTTTTGGAAAGCTTGTTAGATCGGAAGTTGGGGTTAACCAAATCGTATACTCTGAGTGGTTCGACCGTCGAGTGATCAAGGAGAGAGACTATTGTGAATTGGGGAAGGATGACAAGATCTTGTTGTTTGGATGACCGAGGGAGTTAATAATCTATACACAATATCTGGGTTACCATGACACGCGATTCAATGTTGGTTGTCAAACCGACATCATATATATACGACGATGTCCGTTCAAAACTGACATTAAAGATCAATTTTATTGTAGTGGCTCCTGAGGTAAAGACGACCGGTAAAAAGAGAAGGTGAAGGGATGTCGGCCTACCATACTCCGATACTTAAGTCATATATGAGATTTAGAGGAGAGAAGTAAAGAGTGACTTGAGAGGAAATGACGAGATCAATGGTCTTTCTAGGAGATGTGGTAGTGTGAACGCATGGTCAGCAGCATATACCTCTCATCGTACTATGGCGTGACCTGTTGAGGCCGATCTATAGGTCGAGTTATAACCAACGTACGTAATGATCGCTGTAGTGATCGGTCAACCTATAAATCATTCATTATGGTACGAAGGTGTCTCCACACCCATAAACCTTTCAATATGGGGACGAAAGCGTTTGCTTATGTATAAACAACCCAATATAGAAGAAAGGTGTTTGCACGCCTATTGAATGTAGTTTAGCTGGGGTTTTCTCCAGATACGTCCGAAATAGATATTACATGGGCTCGTTGGGTAAATTCACCCTCAATAAACCTTAATTCTCTGCCATATTATAAATTATAAATAGCACCTAAAAAACCCACATTGGCAATTGATCCACCGTCGGAGAGAGGGGTATTAATTAATGGGGAGCCGCAACGGTTGCTGTGCGCCCTTGGCCGGCGCCGTCGTGGCCATTTCAGCCATTTTTATCCCTCCAAGTTTGGGAGTCGATCTCGTGGTCGAAGTTGATGGCAGCTTGGACCACCAACTTCAGACTATTATATTTGGTCTCCCCAAAAAGATCTTATTTACCTATAATCACAAATCCATCTTTTTTTTTTAAATAATAACTCCTATTTTAATACAAACTTTATAACTTATTTATACTAATACAATTTCAATCATAATTCAAATAGAAAATTTAATTCAAATAACATAATCTAAATTATTCTAATTCAAATAACATTATCTAACAATTTTTAATGTATAAAAATTTAATTATTATATTAATTATAATTTAATTTTTAAATTTTAATATATAACAATTTAGTCACCTTAGCATCAAAGGTGAAGTTTGATACAATCTAACTCTTGCCATTGCCAATGATTAGTTAATTAAATCCCCCATGTTTAACTCCAAAATAAATTAAGAAAGGTAATCTGGAAAAAATACATTAGTGTTTAATTTTACAAGATAAATATAGTTTAACAAAAGAAACAAATTTTCTTAAAAAAAAAAAAGGTTAATTTGGTGGGTGTACAGTATTCAAGTACAAGCAAGGGGAGCACAACGTGTTCAAAGTTAATGGCACATCCTTCCAAAGGTGCGTACCGCCGGCCGACGTTGAGCCGCTGACGACCGGAAATGACGTCATTGTGTTGACAACGCCGGGAAAAAAATGGTACATCTGCGGCGTCGGCCTCCACTGTGACGCCGGACAGAAGCTCGTCATTACGGTGCTGAACCAGGAAGAGGGAGCTTCTCCAGTTTCTGCTCCGCCGCCGTCAACCAATTCCCTGCCACCGTCACCGCCGCCATTCCCCCTTTCAACCCCTTCAACCCCCCTTCCGGCCAACTCAACCAATTCCCCGCCGCCGTCGGCCGCCACAAGAGCGGCTGTTTCAGGACATGTCGTGTTTCTTATGATGGCGTTTTCCGTTCTGGCTGGGATTATGATCATGGCTTGAAAATTATTTGTGCATATGTTTCAAATATTTTTGTTTACATTCGCGTCTGTGATTGCTCGTTTTTCTTTTAGATTCCCGATCGATGTGTTTGGGGGAACTTGGAAAATAACAAATAATTAAAACTGTAACTGCAATTTCATTTTGACTTAAATGTTATGTGATCACACACAACTTTCCCTCTCTAGATATTACCTATTCATATGTATCTCTACAATTTATTTCCACGTGTTGTACTAAAAGAAAATTAAAATTCGAGTAACATCGTAATATTTTGATTATTTAAAAAATGAAAATGATGTATTTTACCCGTCTAATATATTGTTCAAATTGTACATATTTTATTATTATTTTTAATTCATCTAATAATCTGCTATTTTACAAAAATATATTGAAACAAATAAAATAGGAGCTGATTTTAGTGTAAGAGGCCAACTCTCATTCTTCCTCTCATGACTTTGTTTTTTTTATCTTCCATGATTTCCAATTTTTATTTTCAACACTTTGCTGCACTCATGAACTTCTGTTCTTGTTTATTTTTTATAAAATAAAAATAGGAATTTACGGAGAGTTGATTGTAATTTTTTTTCTTTTTAACTCAAGATGGAGATTTTGGTGATTTATGATTTAACATGTTGAGCTAATCGAACAATAGTAACCAGTTATTCATCTTACAAATTATTTGTTTATTTTGTAATATGTTATGATAGGGTTATAATAACTAAGTTAATTATTACAATGTTACAATCAAATATAATAGTGTCAATTTGATCATTGATCAGCTAGTTAAGACATATATAGGTAAAAAAAGTTATGGGTTCGAAGCCCCACAACAACATGTTATTTTACACACAAAAAACTTATAATAATTGAATTAATTACAATAAATTTGTACGTTTGAAGATAATTATGTTACAATCAAATACAATATTCATCTTTTTGTTGAGTATAACATGTGGGGTGAAAATAACTCACGATACTTATTGGAGATAAGTGCCTTAAACAGTCGAGATATGCTCACATTGACACAATTAAATACAATATTAGTCCAATACGAGAAAAGTAACTAATATTAAACGGTAGGTAGGAATTTTTTCTCTATTGATGATATTTCCAATGTGTTTATAAGAGAGAAAAAAAATCAAATAATAAATTCATACCCTTAAACAAAAATATACAATTGTACGTCTGAGACCAATTTATTGTCTTCTTTAAAGTTAAAAATTTTATATTCCTCCCTTTGTGCATTTGCTTAACTCACCGAATCAGAAAAAATTAAGTAATCAAGACATCAATAACCTCTATGAAAGTTATATATTTGATTAATTTTTATTTATCAACATGAACAATATGTTCATTGGGTGGCTTTGAATAGCCATTCATTCATTTGTTATTCAATATGTTTTAGAAAATCACACAAAAAAGTATTTCACCATAGCATGTGTTTTCATTTCACTAAAAGAGCCCAAACAAAAACAAAACTTTGAATCCAGATTGGCATATGTAACGAGTTAGAAGGATAAAAAATATCCGAGCTTTCAACTATTTTTTCATGAACTTATCGTTTTAAAATTATGGCTAGAATTTGACTCACTCATTTTTTGAACATTCTATCTAACCTACCATTAAAAACTTTACAAATAATATAAGAAAAGAGATAAATATAGAATAAATAGTTATCAATTTTTTAAATATCTGGACCTCAAATATTAAATTAAAAAAGTATTAATTTTATAATTTAAAATTGAAGAGTTTAATAATGAACTTTTTCCAAGAGAGGAAAAAAAAGTGTGGTAGAGGTCCAAATGTTGAAGGATTTGCATCACACGACAAAGACAAGACACAAGCAAGAGCTCCCACGAGAATGCGTTGGTGAAAGTTTCAAGGCAATTGCGCTGGCTGGCTGGCATGGCTTCAACAGAGCCCCATATTCTTTCTTGTACATTCGGCCGGCAGCCAGCCCACAGCCGGCCGCCGATCCTTCCAATTCTCCACACTCAACAAACAAACCTATAAATACCCACCAACTAAATCATCTCATCCCACAACTCAAATTAACTCCATAATTACTCAGAGCCTTAACAAAATCCAAGCTCAATCCATGGCCGTCATCTCTATCTCTCATCTCTTTGTCTTGTTCGCCACTACAGCCATCTTCGTTCCTTCGACTCTGGCAACCACTTACATAGTTGGAGATGATGCAGGCTGGGACACCGGGGTCAACTACACTATCTGGGCTCAGGACAAAATGTTTAACGTTGGCGATAAACTTCGTAAGCCATTCCTTTCAGATATCTATAAATGATTAAACTTATCTTAATCCATTAATTTAAATTTTTGTATCATGAATGGATGATTAGTTTGAGTGGATTTATTTTGTGCAGTTTTCAAATACACACAAGGGGATCACAACGTGTACAAAGTTAATGGAACCCAGTTCCACAACTGCACGATACCCAATGACCAGAATGCACTGAGCACTGGAAACGACGTCATTGAATTGAAGACGCCCGGAAGAAAATGGTACATCTGTGGCAAAGAGGGCCACTGTGGGCAGAATCAGAAGCTCGTCATTACGGTCATGGACATGGCTCCGGGCAATTCGCCGCTTCCCAGCGCCTCCGCCACGCCTCCTCCGCCTCCTCCGCCGTCCACGCCGTCAGGAGCCACCAAAGCTGCTGCTTCCGACCACTTCGGGGTCATCGCGGCGGTGTTTGGCACCCTTGGGATGATCATCATGGCTTAGGAAAAAAAAAAAAAAGGTTTATGAGGGGATTTAGTGGCTGATCTATTTTATATTATTTTTCATTTGGTGTTTCAGAATTCCATATTTGATTTCTCTCTGAGGTTTGGTATGTTTTGTTTTGGGTTGCTTTAATTTGATGACTTTCCATTTGGATTTGAGCCATGTTTCAATGAAAATCTTTCCCTTTCAATTTGTGCCATGGTTCAATTAAAATTCTTACAAAAAAAAAATAAAATTGGTTCTTGATCCACCCAATTAAGTATCCTTGGGAATTTTAGATTTCTCTCTTCACCTTCAATCATTCCTATGTTGTTTATTCATTAACATTATTTTGGCGAAATTAATATCTATCTTTTTAGTATTAGTTTCAACCAACTTAGCTTTAATATATGTCTACGTCAAAATTACTCTTGCATCAAAACCACCACCGTACTCGTCTGTTAAAGAATTCTAACTAATCATAAGAACGAAGAACTTTATCTTTCAAAATATTTTGGGACTAAATTAGATATTTTAAAAATTTAGATACTAAAATAAAATTAAACTAAAATTTTAGGGATCAATAATCCTATTTAAAGTCTTTAATCTTCCCTTCTTTCCTTGAAAGAATGTAAACTTCCATTCCTAATCTGTTAAAATGCAATTTCCATTTAAGATGTATAGAAAATTAAAGAAAATAACCAAAATAATTGATTATTTATTTTTTATTTTTAGAACATATTTGCTATATTTAAAACTAGATAAGTTATGTCAATTTTACTATAAAATTTCAATTTCATTCCATCCAATAATAACAATAAACTTAGATAAATGTTACAATTTTTATCTTCTATTCGATTTATGATATTTCCACCCATTTATTTAAATAAAAAAACAACGTAAAAAAACTCCAAAAGAGCTCACTACTTTAATAAAAATCAAGCTTATCTCAAATCAAGCAAATCGATCATTAAATAATTCTATGAAAACTTATAAATTTCACCAAAGAAAACTCAACTCTCTAATGTCGTTTTTGTTTGAACCCTATCAATTTCATACCAAATATATATGTTTTATAATTTCTACACAGGTATGAAAATACTTTTCTCAAAAATTTTCCAAACAAAAATCTATCATATGATAAAATATGCCACTTTTTAAAGTTTAGATATGAAGACTACATCAATTATCCAAATTTGAGGTGTAACTTGATGAATTTGAAAATTTATGGTAAAAATTTATATACATGGCTAAGTTTAAGGTTAAAAATGATATTTTTAAATTATATTTATATGGATTTGTACCTACTTTATGATATAAAATTTTAGATATTCGGCCACTATTTTGTACTAAACACGTTTCTTGCTTGTACAATATTCTCCAACAATTTCGAATGTGCCGATTTTATTTGAATAATTTATTGATTCTAAAAGTAATTTTTAACAAAGGAAATTATGTAACCATTAAAAAAGTACTTGCATATCTAATGTTAAGTATTTTTAGATACTCTTTAAATCAAAGAAATAAAAATCTAATAAGTACTTTTTTTAGTATGCTTTTGTAAATAATACACTAATCACAATTTTTTATTATTATTTTTATTTGTAAGTGTCCGGACCAACTCCTACCTCCATAATTTTTTGGTTATAGAAATCGTTTAAAAAACAATGATTTAAAGTAATATATTGTAAAATCAACTTGAACATATAGTTCAACGTATTTGGATATGTGTTTTCAACTATTTTGGATATGTATTTTCAACTATAAGATAAGAGGTTTAAATTCTCACATCTAATATGTCGCGGAAGACGATAAATAACTCTAGATCCTCTGCAACTTTGAATTTAATTGGTACAAATGCAGAACTCATTAATTAAATGCTTACACCCAAAGCCAAGCCAAGCCAAGCCAAATGAACGACCTTCTTATCTATTTCTTATAAATTTAATGGCTTCAATATCTATATGGAATTAGTTAGATATTGAAGATCTATAATTTGGTTGTCGGAATTTATTAGCTTTTGTCTCAACTAACAAAATGAATTGAAAATGGCTTTGTGGACACAAAATTGATTGCTTAATTATCTTTCATAGTATTGAAATATTGTTGGCTTATTAGTCTAAAGAGGCTCTTTGGTTATTTGGTTCAAATGACTAGAGCAAAATGAGGGAATGTGTTCAAATTCTTTGATGGTCACCTCCCTTAAAAATTAATTTTATTAAAAAAAAATTACGAGCGAAATCTAGACCTAATTATGTATTAAAAAATTAAATGGTAAGATTCCAAAATTTAAGATTAAATTAATATTGAGGTAAAATTTAAAAGAAAAAATGTAATGGAAAGAGTCACTGGTCGGCTTGGGGCCGGCTCAGGTCGTCGGGTGCCAGCCCCCTTTCCTGGTTCGTGTCCATTTATTGGCTTTCTTTTGGTCTCCTGTCCCCTAGCTGGATCTTATTTCCCTATAACAAAGACTAATTTTAAATCTATATAAGTTTGGGCTTCTATTACTATGGAGATCATTATTCAAAAGGCCTCGGCATTGAGGAGGTCTCGATTCAACCTTAAGCCCACAATGAAACGAACGGGCCTAGATATCTAGCTTTCCTAGATGTATGGGGATTCGACTCCTGTAAATCCTAAAAGATTAGGATTCGAGACCCACAATAAGAGGGTGAAACAAACCCTAGAGGTATGCTCATAACACCCTACACTTTATACTCAACTATTCTGATTTCAACTTAAGCATCGAAGTCCATGTGGCTAGAACCACACCGGTCTTAGTGCTATTATGTTTTGTAGATCTCATCGATTCTTTTTATCCTAGAAGATTGATGTGAATTCGATGAGATCCAAAGAGACCAAATTTCTACATCAATAGTCTTCATAGTTAGTTTACAGTTAATGTGTTGTAACATAACAGAAATAAAAATAATAATTTCAAGAAAAGACTTAATGTTAATATGTTACCTAAATTTATGGAGGGAGACTGAAAAATGAATAAATTTTTTTAGAAAACATCAACCATAGACCATGTTGGAATTAATTTTAAGAATTACTAAAATGATTAGGTTGAGACATTTGAAAGTATAGGAACTAAAACAAAATAACTAGCAAAGTGTTAGCAATTTTTATCTTCTAAAATTTACCTGCCAATTTTTAGATAATCAAAGTAAAAATATTTTAAACCAGCTTAATTATATATATATTTGTTGAGGGAGAAATCCGAGCAGGCGATGTGTAAGGATCTGGAGGGTGACAGTTGAAAGTGGGACCACCGAAGAAGAGGAACGTATGAATGGAGAAGACGAGGGCTGCGCACCTGCTATGCGGTACATGGGGACGTGGTGCACCCTACAGACGTACAACAGTTTGCATAAAGGATAGATTGGCAGGTGGCAGAACGCCCACTGCGCACCAAGATTGTCCTCGCCTGATCGTCTACACCCCATAAAATGTATGAAGTGTCCTCCCTGGTCCACCACGATAATCTATAAAAGGAAAGAGCCACACCACCACATCGCCATCAATAAGTAAGTGAAAAATCTGTCACTTACTCCCTAAGGTGCTCTCTCCTATCTTTAGTCTGATCACTAACTTCTCTAATCACTAACTTGAGCGTCGGAGTCTTTTAGGCGGGGCACTGCGACAGGATCGTTGGTGCAGGGTCATTTATTTGATGACACTCCATTTTGAATAACATGTGGACCTCCTCAAAACTCGCCAAAATATATATATATATATATATATATATATATATTTATTTATTTATTTATTTATATTTATTAATTAGAAAATGCCTCTTTTTTTATTTAGAGAAGGAATGCATTAAAAACTTCAGCAGGCCATTAGGGCTACATGGTTTTTGAAGCCAGTTTCAGCACACTGATAGAGAAAAGGGAGAAATAAAGAAAGTCACACTCGAGCTCGTCCCAAACCAAAACTTTCCTTAGCAAGTCTATGAGCAACCGAATTCGACTCCCTGTAGACATGGTGGAACGAGATTTCCGTGAAATTTCTCCTACAAGGCACGAATGTCCGAAATCCAATTTGGAACTTCTTTATGTACGAGATTTTCTTCGCGAATCAAAAGGATTGAGCTCAGCGAGTCAGTCTCAAGCATCACACGAGAAAGTCCTAAACGCACGGCCAATCTCAGCCCTTCCCTGATAGCAGCAATTTCGGCAAGTTGAGGGCTTATCCTTGGAAGAACATCCACCATAGCAGCTACATTCTCAGATCTATTATCCCGATGAATAACCTCTATGCCCGAGCTGCTCGTTGCACAAGCACCGTCTGTATTGATCTTCACCACACCAGGGAAGGAGGTCTCCATGCGTTCCTTCGAGGTAACACATTGCTCAAATTTCTCAGCCTCTCATGCTCCTTTGGCTTTAACTTTTCTATATAATTTAGAATCTAGGAAACTTTAGCTGAAATATCAAGGGCTCATTGTTTGTGTATCATAACATTTGTTTGTGTATCATAACATTTCTATCATTCCAGATTGTCCAACAAGTAACACTCGCTAATGTGATTTCAGCTTTGGAGAAGGTATGCAGCCACTCTGACCACCGATCGATAAAGCAATTATTGAAACAATCTCCGCTGACCCTAGCTGGAAACAAACAATTCCAAATCTGCTGAGCCCTTTTACATCTCACAAAGGCATGATCCACCGTACCATCTCCTCCTTCTAATTCAAATACACTGGACACACAGGTAACACTTTCATACCTTTTCTTTGAAGATTAGCCAAATGCCACTTGAACTACATCTAAGGAGAAAGAACCCTAAATAATATTCAAAAGCCCCGTTGGAAAATTTAAACAACAGAATCAGTAAAGCAAAACTTAGCTAATGAATGAGTTAGCATGTTGTAGGTTCCTCACATCTAACCGCCAATTTAATTCAAAGTTGAAATTTCTCCACGGATCAATTTAATAGTAGACAAGAAATCAGATTCCACCAACGGATGGTTGTCGTTCATAGAAATGCAATGCAGATGGAGTGATAGTAGTGATTTTGACAAAAAGAGATTTAAGTATAATTGATTTTTCAAAATCACCGGTATAAATGATACCTTAAAAATCAATTTAAAGTAATTTTAAACTTTCTTTTTTTAATTTACCTGATTAATGAAAACGGAATTGA